TAGGATGTCACACCATCCCACCCTGTATATAGTCTGTACAGAAGACATCGCCCTGAAAATACTGTGGTGAGTCATCCAGCCAAGTTTATACCCAAAACATTTTTAGCTTTTTCTACCTGCTATGAATTGAGATGACATGCTCAACTTGTAAATAAGTCTTTTTGTACATTAAAAAAGTAATTTTTTCATAATTTATTTTGTGTATCTGCTTCCTCCTTGACACAGTTAATGAGGACCTGGGCAGTAAATTTGGTGCATTTGAACAGAAATTAGGCTGTATTTTTTCTCAACAGTGTCAGAATGGACTATTTCACATTTGCCCAGAAATATTTAATGTGGATGCATTTGCTGGCGGTGTGTGTGCTGCCTCTCTGGGGTGGGGGTGGGGTTAGCATGTCACAGTCAGTATCTGGCTGCTCTGAATATTTGAGCTGACTTTTGGAGAGCCATTCGTCCCAGACCCAGGGGCAGCCCAGCACCCTCACCCACAGCCTCCTCTCTGAGGGGCAGCCCAGCACCCTCACCCACAGCCTCCTCTCTGAGGGGCAGCCCAGCACCCTCACCCACAGCCTCCTCTCTGAGGGGCAGCCCAGCACCCCTCACCCACAGCCTCCTCTCTGAGGGGCAGTCCGATGGCGTGGGAGTTGGGTGGGGCGGGGAGAGCAGGCAGGCCGGCTGTGCTCTGGTGCAGAAAGAGTCAGGGCAGGAAGCTGGAGCCTAGGATACCGGCAGCAGCCGTGGGCGAAGGAGCCCGGGGGGGAGCCGCCCTGAGCAGGGCTGTCCTGGGAGGTGACCCTGGCAGGTATATGGGGAGGCTCAGGTCTAATAAGAGATCAGTCAACCACGGGAAGAGACGGCCACCCAGTGGGGCCAGCGACTAGGGTGTGAGGCCTGGGGTGAGCTCTGGACTGGGACAGGACAGCAGGGAAGAGGCTGCTGGGCTGGGGGCGGGGGGGGGGGTTGCATCCTGCATGCCCCCTCCTCTCCCTGAGGGAAGGCACTGGGTGGCGCACTGGGAAGAAGCCGTGGGGGGGTGTTTAAACTCAGAGCCATGCTGTGGATGGGACCACGTGGCCTGAAGAAGGAACCAGGTACAGAAGCGTAGGAAACACCAAGGAAAATGGGGCCTAGCCGTTTCCTTTCTGCAGAGCGTCCCCAGTCCACCCGTGTCAGGGGAGCCCCCACTTCCCTGGCGGCAGTTTCCTGGTGGAAAGATGCAGCCAGGGTTGCCTCCTGGCCTCGCTCCTCCCGGGGGGCTCGCCCCGCTGCTTGCACACTCGGGAGAGGGACCGAGCGTGCCTGGCCGCCCTTTCCTCCGCCTCCTTCAAAGCTCAGCTCCAGGCTCGGCACCTTCGCTTCGTGTTAAGCTTCTGGAAGCAGCTCTGCTCTGCTTGGGGGACCGAAGTTGCTCAGTGCTGCCTGCGGCGGGATGAGCCACAGCTTATGAAGCCCGGGGTGGCCATTCAAGTGACGCATCCTCCTTCAGTGAACGATGGCCGCCATCATGCTGCCGACAATGTCCACGAAGCCTTCAACCTCTGGAGCAAGACGCATGTAGTAGCTCCTGAACCTGGGTCAGCCGAGGCGGCCGGTCCCGGCTGGGCTGGGCAGGGCTGGGCAGGGCGGGCCTGCAGGTCTGCGGGCAGCCGGGGGCAGCTACTCTCGCTGGCCGGGTTGGGCAGCTTGGGTCTGTTCCTGTGGCTCTCGTCCTCCCCCAGAACCAGGACGCTGGATTGAGCACTGCTTTCTTGTGGCAACAGCAGAAGCACCAGAAGCAAGAAGAAAGTGCGGGTCCTTGAGGACCAGCGCACCATTGGTATCACCTCATTCCTTTGGCCAAACCAAGTCATCTGGCCAAACCATCACGGCCGATGTCAGGAAGGGCACGCGTCCACGGGAGTGGGAGGGAAAGAGCATTTCTCAGCGATAATGTGTAGGCCAAGTGACGTCCTCGATGAATACCTTGCAGTGTATTCGTCCATGACCCCATCTCTCCAGCCAGTCAGCAGTGTCAGGGTCTAGGTCCTGTGTGCTCTGTGTTCATTCTGGACGCGACTCTTCTTGACCCAGAGACTTAGGAACTAAAGAAGCCGGTCCCTGCCCCGCACACACCCAGCACACAGTGGGGCAGGGCTGGGATCACGGCCATCGCAGCCACTGTTCCAGCACCCAAAGCCTGCGGGCGGAAGTGCCACTGCCTCTACCCTGGGGAAGTGTGCCCCTGGCGATCTGCAGTCCCCCGTGCTCCCCGCTGCCCCCAGTGGGGGTCTTCCTCCTCCATCATCCTTTCCACTCCGGAAGCGGGCACTGGAAAGCGTGTCCCCTTAGGCGGTGGAGTAGCTCTCTACCTCTTCTTGCCTGAAGGAAGGTGGGAGCCTCAAGGTCCTTTCCATTTTAAAGCCTCGGTCCCCTGTACTCCACGCTCACATGCACTTGCCCGTCAGCTCTCAGACACTGCGGCTCTTCTGCATGTTTGTTCCAGTCACTCGGGCCAGTTCCTCTCTACACTTGGCTACTGGCACCTTCGGGCTGTGGGGCCATGCCCTGAAGGTTCCCAGGCACCCCGTTATCACTGAGAGGATGCTCTAGAGCAGCGGTTCTCAACCTGTGGGTCGCAACCCCTTTGGAGGTCGAACGACCCTTTCACAGGGGTCGCCTAAGACCATCCTGCATATCAGATATTTTCATTATGATTCATAACAGTAGCAACATTATAGTTATGAAGTAGCAATGAAAATAATTTTATGGTTGGGTCACAACATGAGGAACTGTATTTAAAGGGCCAGAAGGTTGAGAACCACTGCTCTAAAGCCACCTTTCCCCTTCCAGGGCCTCAGACAAAGGGCCTTGCCATCCAGGGGCACATCCCTGACTCTCTGCTTAGAGCTGCGTGCCTCCGGCACAGCCTGGATTGGGTCTGGGCACCTCAAGCCAAGCCTTAATCTGAAGATCTTTCAGCAGCTGGAGGACTGGAGATGAGAAATAACTTTATTTTCTAGATTCTACATGTGAATGGCAGGTCCTTTTCTGAACTCATCTTTTACTTGAAGCACCTTGTCATTTATAGCTTGAAGAAGCTCAATGTCACAAGGCCGTCCCTGGAAACGCTGCCCAAGTCCATAAATGCACAGGTACGTTTCCTCCTCCCAGATCACCATGCGCAACAATGCTACCAAATGTTTCTTCACCACGTAGCACGGGTCACCACTTTTCTGCCACTTTTTAACCTTCTCTAAATCTCCTCACTGCCCAGTTCCAAACCTATGCTGCATGTCTGAGGACTGTTACAGCAGCTTCCCACGCCATTTTCTGAATAAGTTACCTAAGGCCCAGTAATGCCACCTAAAGTCCTTTATTCCGCTCAGGAATCTACGAGGCTGCCGAGGGGACCTCACCTGGGTGAGTGCTGAGGCAGCGCCGTTCTTCGGTGCCGCCTCTCCTGGCCCCGAGTGGGCTGGGACCTCTAATAGCGACGGCACAAGCACAACAGGACAAGCAAAGCACAGGAGGCCCTCGAGGCCTCGGCTCGTGACAGAAAGCACGTCACATGGCTGGGCCCCACGTCGGCGGAGGGAAGCACACGCTTCTAGAATTAGAGAGACAGGTATCTGACAAGAATCCCATCTAGCTGCCCACTCACCCTGCTTTCATAAGACTGACCTTGTAGCCTCCATCTGACTCCTGATTCTGTATCTTGGTTGGTTCTACACCCAAAGGGGGAAGACAGTGGGCTCATTCATTGGTGCCGTCAGCAGTGATGTGCCAAAGCCAGTTCCTGCACCTCTTCCCAAACTCTGCGTTCAGAGATTTCACTTTAACTACTTGGCATTGGCCATTTGCCATATTGGGAGAGTTTACACCACAGGAATTGGCAAACACTACAAGGTGTCCCCCTCTTCACCTGCAGAGAGCCTCTTGTTAATCATTTGCAGTGTGCCTAATACCCACTCAAATGCTGCGAGTTGTCAACAGCCTCATATGCCTGGAGGTCTTTTCCAAGTTTATATGTCCACACGACCCATTCTGTGGAGACCTTGTGAGTCCGGGGTGTCATGGGCACAACTACCGTGGTCATCAGTGGCCTTCCGATTTTAACAGTCATGCATTCGTTTATTCAAGTGGAACTGGCTCTGTAAGGTCAAGGACTCAGTTAAAAGTGGAGCTGGAGCTGATCCAGCTGAAGTTGGGAGCAGGAGGCTCAGGACCTCCACACATCCTGCCCCCCTGTCCACCCAACCAGGAATTCCCTGCAATAGAGCGGGTATGGGAGACCCCTCTGTGGCGGTGCCTGGCTTTCTTCCAGACACAGGACCTCATCTACTAATCAGCGCAATTCCAGTGGCACAGACATGGAGACACAGAATGGAATTTGAAACCAACTATCTAGTTTAGCGATTTCTAACCGGTGGCCGCAAGAGTGTTTAAAACATGCAGTACCAGGCTACTTAGTCAGGGCACTGACCGCTTTTCCCTTCGACTGTCAGATAGAAAAATGACAACAACTAACACAATAGCCATCGGGTGTGAATAAATCAAAATTACACCTTTTTTTTTGTCAGGTCAGGAAAAATATATACTTTTGATGTGCTGCAGAATGTTAGTAATTGGCTTATGTACCATGTGGTGAAAAAGGTTGAAAGTAGCTGATCCAGTTCAACACCAGATGAACTGAGGCACACTCGGAGAAAAGCTGCGCGCACGTTAGGCAAGAATTGGAACCCCCACAGCACCCCCAAGGTGAGCTGGCTCCCCCAGCACGCTGCAGACACAGGGCCCCGTCGGCGCCTCCAGCTGCCCTCTGCCGGGCTGGGAGCCGCCAGGGCGGGAGCTGTCACTGATTCACCTGGTCTCCCAGGTCCAGCACCTGGGGGCCCAGCAGGAGTTTTCATTAATTCTGCTCAGGTGTCTGCACATCGGTAGCTCCAGAGGCTTCGGGAAGGAGGGGAGGGGGCGAAGCTTTGAGAGACAGAGAAATTGAATCTTGTGAGTGGCCCTTCAGAACGTATTGGAACAGGGGCCATTCTGTGCACAGAGAGGGGGCCACAGAAGCTTTGAGCGCCCTGGAGAGTTCTGGGTTGTGTTGCATTTTGTTCCTCCTGGATGAAGAGGAAGAGGGAGGAGGCTGGGCTGAGCAGAGAGCAAAGGCCTTCACGCAGAATCTCATGATGGGACCAACAGCTGCTTGTCACTGGGCTGAGGGTCTCTGATGGGCTTTTCCAACTTCAAAGTCTACTCCACTGGCCTTTGCTGTGGTTCCAGAAAATTACCATTAAAACATGTTTCCTTTGGGCGCAAACACAGAAGTCCTCTGAACATGATTCCAGTGTTACCCAGGACCTCAAACTTGAAGAATGAATGAATGAGTGAGTGAGTGAGTGAGTGAATGAGTCCACGGTAACGCAAACCCTGGTCAATTGTCTCCTGAACCACCTGGGGATTCCCTGCAATTGAGTGGGTGTGGGCAACCCCCTCTGTGGTGGCGCCCTGCTTTCTCCCAACACAGGACCCTCATTGACTAATCAGTGCAATTCCAGGAACATCCTCTGAGCTCAGAGGTCATCTGAGGTTCCTGAACACATCAGTCTTCAGCTGTTGCTTCTAAATCACCTCCTTCTCCCCATCCTCCCCCTCCTCTCTCTCTCTCTCTCTCTCTCTCTCTCTCTCTCTCTCTGCTGGTGGACAAGACAGAGAACAAGTGGGTGAGCCCAGCATGTGACTGAATCACTACAGCATGGAGTGATGTGTGCGTGATGTCATGCACAGAAAGGGAGTGATGGGCAGGAGGGTGGCAGGAAGGGGGCATGTCCAGTTAGCAGAGTTGTAATGGAAGTAAGACCTGGCGAGGTGTTGAAAATAAGTAGGAGATCACCTGAAGGGACTGGAGATTTCTCATGAGAAACCTTGGAGGCCAGAAGGAAGTGGAATATTTTTAAATGCTAAAAGGAAAGACTGTCAACCAGAAGTCTGTGCCCAGGAGCATATCCCTCAGGGCGAAGGTAAAATGGTCACTCATTAGCAGACACTCTCAGATGAAGGAGAACGGAGAAGCCATTGTCAGCGGTCCTTCTACAGGCAGAGAGGAAATCATAGCAGAAGAAAGCTCGGAGCATCCGGAGGAGGGAGAACAGCAGAAAGGGCACGTATCTGCGTGAATAGAGTAGATTTCCTTGGTGAGTTCTTTACAATTTGTTTATCAGTTGAAAGCAGAAAGCATAACGTTGTGTGATGGGGCTCCCAATGCAGGCAGATGTCATAAGACACAGACGACAGAGGGAGAGGGCGAAGGGACCCTGTGGGCTACGTAACATTCTCCACAGGGGGAGGGGGTGTGGGGGGGTGGTGAAGTGCGGACTCGAGGAGCCTGAAGAAAGCTCTGCACATTTATTGCAAAGCTGGTGCTGTCAGGACACAAACCAACTGAACGCGGGGGCGGCAAACACATAACAGACAGCGGAAACGGAATACTAACAAAAAGTTCAGAGGACCCAAGGAGGGCAGGAAAGGGGAACGGGAACAAACACTGCACCCAGGGGGAACACAAGAACAAGGTGGACATAAATGCAAGCATGTCCATAATCTCATAAAGTGCAAATGGCCTGAGAGCACCGATGAACTGACGCGTGTGGGCGGAGCACCCACCGAGCCTGACCACTTCCTGCAAAGCCATGCAGTCAGGACAGGTGGCGCTGGTGCCAGACACGGCCAGGGTACGGAGCGAGCGGGCCATCCAGCCAGGCCACGCTCTAT